TTGATGGGGCGTCCCCACGGTGCCAAGCAAGCTGGTCTCCGGACTCCGTCCTTAAGCTAACGAGAAGGTTCCACCCGCCCCCGCTTTGGTGGCGAGACCAAGCATTCTCTGTCAGGGGTGCTTCACGTTTGCCTGGAAGCAGGGGGTTGGACTTGATGGCCTCGCGGAACCCTTCCACGTCGACGATTCCATTCTAGCATCGTTCACGGGGGTGGCCGAGACCACGGATTTTTAAATCCAGCAGGGTTTTAAGCTCCGCATAAAAAGGCGCTTTAGCGACCAGCCGATCTGTCCTGGAGAGTTTTATCCATCTCACCTGTATTTAGAAACATCCACCTGGCTGTAGTTGGACCAAAAAAAAAAAGGGGGGGGGTTTGGAAGAGCTGGCTAGAATCTCTCCTGGCCAGATACCTCAATGCCCTTCTGTTGGGTGATATGATGCCAACCTTCAAGGTGTGCTTCTGAACACCAGGCCTGGATGTCTGCGGCACCAACTTTTGGCAAAAAAACGCGAAAGGCTGGCAAAGTAAACGGCAGGATCGGCAGCTGAGCAACCTGCTTTCCAGCTAGGTAAAAAGAGCGTTTCTTCCATGGATGTGGGGGGGAAATAATGCTCAAGTTCAAAATAATGAATAATGTGCCTTCGGACGTTGTGGGCACTCCATCGCTGGAGGTTTTTAAGAAAAAGACTACACAGCCACCGGTTTGAAATGGTGCAGCATCTCCTGCTTGAGAAGGAGGGGTAGACTAGAAGGCCTCCAGGGTCCCCTCCAGCTCTACTTGATTGATTGATGGATTCTGCACCAAGACTTTGAGAAGAAGCGTGGCTGACACAACTGCGGCTTAGCCAGCCGCAGTACAGAGAGCTTCCTTTCAAGGCAGGAAGATTACCCACATGAATAAACTTTCCATGATGTGCCTTGACCCAAAGCTGGAGGGATCCACATTACGACGGGCACATCTCCGCAACTCCCAGAGAAACTGCCCTGGAGGCAGAAAGAGTCAAGGCTCCTGCATGGTTCAGCACCTTGGACAGCTCTGGGATGACAGAGAGCGGATCTATGTAGCTGAGTAGGATTTCCTGAGTGCCAGGGTAGAAATGGCAAATTCTGGTTATTTATTTAAAACTTTTGTATCGGGGGAGTCTCCAACTTTAAGACCTGGAGTCGAAGAAGTTGCCTTTGGAAGTTGTGGGAGCTTCATCCCTGGAAGTTTTCAAGCAGAGTCCGGACTGCCATCTGTCAGAAATGGTGTAGGGTCTCCGGCTTGGGCGGGGGGTTGGACTAGATGACCTACAAGGTCCCTTCCAACTCTGTTAATCTGTTAATCTTAAATCTGCACAACTATGAGAGAAGTTGCTCCGGGCGCAGAAAGAACCAAGGATCCTGCATGGTTCAGCACCTTGGACAGCTCTGGGAATGACCGAGCGAGAATCTGCCTAGCCGAATAGCGCCAGGGTGAAGATGGCAAATTCTGGTTATTTATTTAAAACATTTGTATTGCGGGTCTCCAACCTTGGTGACTTTAAGACCTGTGGGCTTCCAGAATTCTGGGAATCGAAGTCCACAACTCTTAAATCTGCACAACTGTAAGAGAAGCCGCACCGGAGGCAGAAAGAGGCTTGCAAGGCTCCCTGTGTGGACAGCTCTGGGATGACTGACAGAGGATCTGTCCAGCTGGCTACGGGGATTCTCAATCAACCAAGTTGCGGTTGTCCCAAAGGAGCTTTCTTTCAAAAGGCAACCGGACTTTCGTGTTTGGCTTGAAGACGTTTCGCTTCTCCTCCAAGAAGCTTCCTCCAAGTGGCCTCAAGGGCTCTCAGAAAGAATACTAACGCCCAGAGGACTGCAAGGAATATAAATCCTTCCATCGTCCACCGTTCGGTTGGAATGGAAGAAGCTTCTTGGATGAGAAGCGAGACGTCTTCAAAGAAAAAAAACAAGAACACACCTTTGGGATGTCCACCTGAGCAGGAGCACCAGGGTGGAGAGGTCAAATCCCGGTTATTTATTTGAAATCTTTATACAGCCCCCCATCTTGAAACCACTGCAGTTGGATTAGACAAGGCTGCATCAAACTGACTCACAGCGAGGCGAGCTGGATGGCAGAGGCGCTTGGAAGGTGACACGTGTGTGTGTGTGTGTGTGTTTGTGCGTGTGTCTGAGAAAAGCTGGCAAATCCCAGCTGCCAAGAAGCCCTCCCTGCCTTGCTTGCCTCCAAGCAATAACCTCAGTTTAGATTTGCTCCCTCCGCTTTGAAGTTTCCGGAGGGGCGGGGAGCAGAGGGAGAAGCCAGGGCAACGGTGTGTGATTCAAACCCCCGCAAAATGGATTCGGAAAAGAAGGGATTTCCAGTCAGGATGTCTTGCCAGGGAACGAAGAAGGCAACCTTCCAATTTCGTGCCGGCACCTTCCAGCTTCTCGAGTCACCTGGCTTGATTCAGCGGAGGTTGGAACCGGCCCACTGCCCGAAGAGGATTTCCCCCAAGGCATGCTTAATTGAACAGAAGGATGGGAAGATGGACACGGCGAAACGGTTTGTCCAAGATCTACGGAGGATTAATGTTCAGCATCGAGGAGGTGGAGGAATTGCCTGCTCTAGAGAAGCCAGAGGTCGGTAATCTTATGGAAGATCTCTCTCCTCCCCGGCATTCTTGACTGAACAAAGTTCTCCCTGTCCATATTTCCCTGGGGGAACATCTCTCTTCTTGCAGACCCCTTCCTCGCTTTCGCCTTATCTCCTTCCAGCTCTGTGCATCTCCAATGCGGGCCGTGAACTTTAATGACGGCCAGCCTTTTCAAGGAATAAGCTAGACGAGAACCGCGATACGCAGGGAGTCACGCTGCTGCTGCTGAAAAGAGATGCAAAAAATTCTTGAAAATGTCATGACGGAAAGGATGTCAAGGACTCGCATCATCGACGGGGGAAGAGGGGGAACACTTAGAGAAAAAGGGGGGTGGAAAAAAGAGAATATGGGCCTTTTCATTTCAGCTACAGAAGATGGCCTTTCTTAGCGAATGGAGGAATCTGTAGGGCACTTTTTCCTGACCTTGTGAACTTTAAGATGGGAGACTTCAACGCCCAGGGAGATTTCTGGGAGTTGAAGTCCACCCGAATGGAGAATTTTGGGAGTTGAAGTCCACCCGAATGGGGAATTCTGGGAGTTGAAGTCCACCTGAATGGGGAATTCTGGGAGTTGATGGGGAATTCTGGGAGTTGAAGTCCACCCGAATGGGGAATTCTGGGAGTTGAAGTCCACCTGAATGGGGAATTCTGGGAGTTGAAGTATGCCCATCTTAAAGTTCACAAGGTTGAGAAAGAATGCTGCAGAGGGCCCGTGAGATGGACTTGAAGCAAAAACCCATTACATAAAACAGCCAGTTGTTAAGTTAGCAACATGGTTGTTAAGTGAATCTGGCTTCCCCATCGACTTTACTTGCTAGAAGGGGAATCACATGACGTCAGGATGATGCCCCCGTCATAAATACGAGTCAGTTGCCAAGCGTCCAAATTTTGATCATATGGCCACGGGGACGCCGCAACGGTCGCACGTGGGAAAAACGGTAATAAGTCACTCTTTTTCAGTGCCATTGTTAAGTTTGAACAGTCACTAAATTAAGGGACTGTTAAGTTGTTGAGCTGAAGACTCCCTGCATGGGGTTAAGGTTTTGCACCACATGGGGCAAATGTGCAATTAGCTGATTTGGGCCTCAGAAGGGGGGCTTCTTGGGTGGGACGGATAGAAGTTGACAGACATTGCGAGGGGTACAAGAAGCAGCAGCAGCAGCAGATGGGAACTGAAAGCCGGGAAGATTTCCTGACCGGAAGAGAAATCGAAACAGTCTTAAAACAGAATGACTTCTCCTCAAAGTGGTTTCTACAAACCCAGGGTGGTGTGGCGGGTTGGACTAGATGACCTCTAAGACCCCATCCAACTAATCCATTCTGTGACTTCAAGCGAGAACCCCGACTGAGATGGGTAACTTTGGGGCAGAGGGGGTGGGGGAAATGTCATCCTTTTTAGCCACGTGCGTGTCCATCTCGGTGGGCTACGCCGAGGTTCTCCGAAAGGAAAGCAGAGCCCACTATTCTTCTACCGTCATCCCTATTCAGGCCCGAGACCGAATCCTGAATGATGCTATTTGTTGAACTGATGGGAAGGGGGAGGGGGGATTTAAAAAAACAATTCCTGACCCCTGAAGATGTGGGAGGGGTTTCTAGATTGAAACTAGGGAGGTGGGGCAGAGAAAGGCTTTGTGTGCGATTTCCATCACCTCCAGAGAAGTGGGACCATTTAAAGAAAGACTTTTCTTGCCGGAGATGCTTCAAAAGGGGTAAGATCAGGGGTGGGATTCAGCCAGTTTGGATCAGTTCGGGCTGATCAGGGCCTGTGCGGAGGCTCTGGGAGGACGAAAAATGGGCCTCCCGGAAGTTCCGGAAATCTGGAAACGGGACCGTTTCCGGCCTCCGGAGGGCCTCCAGAGCCTGGGAGAGGCCGTTTTCGCCTTGCTGGAACTTGAGGAAAGCCTCTGGAGCCTGGGGAGGGCAAAAACGTCCTCCCGCCATGGTGCAGGAGGCCGAGTAGGCCACGCCCCCATGGCCACACCCACCCACCCGGGCAGAGAACCGGTTGCTAAATTTTTTCAATCCCACCCCTGGGTAAAATTGGCTCAAGGCCCCATCCCTCTGCCCCACTGAAAGACAGCTTCCTAAACCCCACTTAGGGCTCTTCTTCCGATTCATCCTTCCTCCTTCCGATTGCCCCCCATCCTTCCTTGGCTCCCAACCTGCGAGTGAGAATCGGAGCTTCGGGAAAAGCACAGGAGATGCTACCAAGAATGCCAGGGCAGCTGCCCGCTGTGCCTTACTGCCTTCTTCCCCCCCCTCCCCCGCTTCTGGCAGAAAGGAAGAGAGGGCCGGGTGGTTCCAACCTCCGCTGTTTGGGGGGGTGAGGGAAGAGAGAAGGGGGTGACGGCAGCCACCGCTTTGTGGTCCCCTACCTGCCGGGTATCGTTCGTTGATGGGCCAGTTGTCCACCTGCAGCGTTGCGTTGCCGCCGCTCCGGGTGAAACGGACCACGTGGTACTTGCCATCGTTCACCATAGCATTGCTCTCCTCGATTGTGATGTCGTCCGTGCCCACGTTGAAAATGACGCCCACAGTCCCCTGGTCCTGCAGAGAGCGGGGGAAGGGGGAGGAGGAGGAGGAGGAGGAAGAAGAGGCAGAGAGAGGAAGGCAGAAAGGAAATTGGGTCAGGGGATCTCGAAAAGCAGGGAAATCTCCAGCTGGATTGCAGAAATTCTGGTGTTTCTTGCAAAAATTCCCCACAAAATAAAGGAATCCTGTAATATTACGATCAGCTTTGTGAGGGTCTCCAGCAGTCATCACCTGAATACCAATTTATTCAATTTTAGAAGCTGCTCCTTCTCCAAGAGCTCAAGGATGTATTAATAGAATAGAATGGAATGGAATGGAACGGAACGGAACGGAACAGAACAGAATAAATATAGCGTAGAGTAGAGTAGGAGTAGAGCAAAGTAGACTAGAGTGGAGTAGAAGGGTAAAATATAGAATAAATATAGAATAAAGTAGGAGTAGAGTAGAGTAGAAGAAAGGAGTAAAATTTAGAATAAATATAGAGTAAAGTAAAGTAGAGTAGAATAGAATAGAATAAATATAGAGTAGAGTAGAGTAGAGTAGAGTAGAAGAGTAAAATATAGAATAAATATAGAGTAGTGTAGGAGTAAAGTAGAGGATAGTAGAAGAGTAAAATAGAGAATAAATATAGAGTAGAGTAAAGTAGAAGAGAAGAGTAAAATATAGAATAAATATAGAGTAGAAAAGTAGAAGAGAAGAGTAAAATATAGAATATAGAGTAGAGTAGAGTAGAGTAGAGTAGCATAGTATAGTGTAATGTAGAGTAGCATAGCATGGTAATGTACGGTACGGCACGGCATGGCACGGCACGGCATGGCACGCAACGCAACGCAACGGAACAGAACAGAACAGAACAGAATAAATATAGAGTAGAGTAGAGTAGGAGTGGAGTAAAGTAGACTAGAGTAGAGTAGAAAAGTAAAATATAGAATAAATATAGAGTAAAGCAGGAGTAGAGTAGAGTAGAAGAGAAGAGTAAAATATAGAATATAGAGTAGCGTAGCGTAGTGTAGCATAGCATAGAATTAGAATTCTTTATTGGCCAAGTGTGACTGGACACAGAAGGAATTTGTCTCCGGTGCAAAAGCTCTCAGTGTACATATAAACAGCAAGTCAGACGTCAGAGGTCATAAATCATAGTTACAATTCATTAAACCTAAGTTTAATTTATGAACAATTGATCAATCATAAGAAACCAATAGGAGAAAAGAGTAGGAGAGATGAGAAGTGAGACAATGCTGTGGGAATTAGTTGTTGAGCAGAGTGATGGCACGGGGGGAAAACTCTCTTTAGGTCTAGTTTTATAGTAGTAGAGCCTTTATTGTCATTGCACATCATATATACAATGAAATTGGTTTTGGCCTGCAATGCCCTATAGCGCCATCCGGAGGGGAATAGTTGAAACAGTTTACATCCAGGATGTGAGGGGTCTGTAGCAGAGGTGGGCGTCAGATACCGTAACAACCGGTTCGCCCAACACTGGAAATGTGAGCACACGCCACCCGCATGCATGCGGCATCACAAAACAGGGGAATTCACTTGCATGCACCATCAGCACGTGTCCAGTGTCAAACAACACAGTGATATAGCACGGCATTGAGCCCGGTTGCTTTGCTCGCGTATCCCATTGCAAACCGGTAGTAAAGGTAATAGAACCCACCCCTCGTCTGTAGATACTTTCTCCTTCTGACCCATGCAGTATATAGGTCCTCCATGGAAGGCAGGCTGGTTGCAGTTGGTTTTGCTCCAGTCCTCACTATCCGTCAAAGTCTGTCCCTCTCCTGTCTGGTTGCTGTGCCAAACCAGACAGTTACAGAGGTGCAAATGACAGTCTCAACAGTTCCTCTTTAGAACTGGATCAGCAGCTCCTGGGGAGGTCAGAGCTTTCTGAGTTGGTGCAGGAAGGACATCCTTTGTTGTGCCTTTTTAATATATGTGTGTATGTATTAGGGGTGAAATGCTACCGGTTTGGGCCGGTTTGCCCCGAACTGGTAGTAAAAAATGCTTTAAAAAAGTAAAAAAAGAGAGGTTCCCACGATCGCACGGCACAGCTGATTGTCACAGCTGATTGTCGGAACCATTTTTTTTACTTTTTTAAAGCATTTTTATTACCTACTCGCCCCAACCGGTAGTAAAAAAACCCTTTAAAAAAAGTTTTTAAAAGGTTCCGACTATCGCGGGTACAGCTGATTGTCACAGCTGATTGTCACAGCTGATCGTCTGTTCCGACTATCGCAGGCACAGCTGATTGTCACAGCTGATTGTCCCAGCTGATCATCACAACCTTTTTTAAAAAACTTTTTTAAAGCATTTTTTACTACCTATTCGCCCCAACCGGTAGTAAAAAAATGCTTTAAAAGTTTTTAAAAGGTTCTGACGATCGCGGCCATAGCTGATTGTCACAGCTGATCGTCGGAACTTTTAAAAAACTTTTCTTAGTTAAAAAATGCTTTAAAAAAAACGTTGGCCAGGCCCACCCAGTCACATGACCCCACCACCACCAAGCCACGCCCACAGAACCGGTAGAGAATTTTTTTTAAATTTCACCACTGATATATATGTATGTGTGTGTCTTATAGCAGTGTATCCATTGCCTACTCCACAACAACAACCCTGTAAAGGGACACTGGACTGAGAAAGAGACAAGAATTGGTCTATTTTGTGAATTTCCACACCACAAATAGGGTTGAATCCGGATTTCTCCAACTCTCTGTCCAGCTTTTTAAAAATTTTACAGGTAGTCCTCGACTTACGGCCACAATTAAGCCCAAAATTCCCCTTGCTAACCAAGGCAAGTTGCTAAGCCAGGAGTTCTGCCCCATTTTGCAACCTTTTTGCCACAGTTGTGAAGCGAATTACTACAGTTGTTAAACAAATCATGTGGTCATTAAGCGAATCCGGCTCCCCCCCCCACCTCCATTGATTTTGTTTGTTGGAAGCTGGCTGGGGGAGGTTGCAAATCGTGATCACTTGACCTGACTAGGTGGCTCAGTGGCTAAGACACTGAGCTTGTTGATCAGAAAGGTCGGCAGTTCGAATCCCTAGTACAGGCCTCCTGCTTGAGCTGAGGGTTGGACCAGATGACCTCCAAGGTCCCTTCCGACTCTGTTACTGTTAACACCCCGGGGCACTGCAACAGTCGTAAGTACGTGCCAGTTGCCAAGTGTCTGAATTTTGATCATGTGACCATGGGGATGGTGAAACGGTCGTAGGTGTGAAAACTGGTCACAAGACAATTTTTCCCAGCGCTGAAAAATATCTTAATTTTTTTTCCCCTAACAAAACAATCTTTATTCTTAAAGGGAAAAAAAAACCCACAAAATTTTAAATGAATATTAAAAACTGAAAATGGGAGGAAAATTTAAAAAAATTAACCTTTTTAATAGGTTGTGCTGTTAAACCAGTCAGATTTCCCTTCTGCATGAAGCCGAAGAAGCCGAAGAAGTATTAAGTATTTATTTATTGGTTCGATTTATATGCCGCCCTTCTCCGGAGACTCAGGGCGGCTTACAGTGCGTTAAGCAATAGCCTTCATACTTTTGTATATTTATACAAAGTCAGCTTATTGCCCCCACAATCTGGGTCCTCATTTCACCTACCTTAGAAAGGATGGAAGGCTGAGTCAACCTTGAGCCTGGTGAGATTTGAACTCGTAGTAATTGCAGGCAGCTGGCAGCTAAGTGCTACTTAACAGCACTTTAGTCCGCTGCGCCACCAAGGCTCTCTCTTTTCTTTTCTCTTAGATATCAGCCACATATCACCCCCGTCCTCTCGATATCGCTTGAACTGACCATGGCCCAGATTTGTGGATTTCATGGCTGGGGAAGCGGAGTGGTGGGCTTAAAACGGGGGTCTCCCCCCCCCAAACAATTATCTTTCCCGTTGAGATGGAAATGTCCATGCTCACAGCTTCTTTGGCAGCTGGAAGCGGGGGGGAAAACTGGTCTGAATCAGCCTGTTGCAATGGGAATAACTGGGATTTCGTCTCGCCCAGGATAAAAAAATAAGCCAGCTTTGGATACTTTGAAAAGGGGACATCTGATACCGCGGAAACAAAGCCAACTGGCGCGAAACTAGGATTCTGCCTCCCCAAAGACACCCCTCTCCATGTAGAGGAGGTGAATTTAGGGCTCCTGATCTCCCCCCACCACACCCACACGCCAGCACAACACGACAACTGGCAATCTGCAGAGGGCCGATAAGCTCAGCTCGTGATCTCATCCCTAAGCAGCTCTGGCAATTAAAAAGGGACGGCCGAATCTCCCCGCGTGGGGCGTATTTCAAAGGATTAAACCCTTGTTCTTAAACACGTTTTTTTTTTTTTTTTTTAAATTCTTGGCTGGCGTTTAAAAAAGGGCCGGGATGAAACCTCCGGTTCGAAAGCTCTCCGGGGTTTTTAACCAACAATGCCAGAGCATACAGGAAGCGGTCGAAGGTCTGGGACTCCCGAGTCGAAAACGAAGAAGGCCGGGCTTGTTTCCACACGGGCTCCAAATATTGACGGACTCTCCTTGATCTTGTAGGACAAGGGGTCAGCAACCTGTGGCTCTGGAGCCGCATGCGGCTCTTTGGGCCCTCAGATGTGGCTCCCTGTCAGGTGATCTCACCCCTGGCTGACCCCGCCCCTCGCCCTCCCCTCCCAGTCATTCCTTGCCTGGCTTGAGAAGGTAAGGGCGACCATGGGGGATGGAGAAGCGACCAGGGCAGAGACAGAGAGATACAGAGAGAGGGAGAGAGACAGAGACATAAGGAGATACAGGGAGGGGAGAGAGAGATATTATTAGATTATTTATTTTATTTATTAATTTATTATTAATTATTGCAATGCGCTCTACATGGAGCTACCTTTGAAGAGTGTTCGGAGACTACAGTTGGTCCAGAATGCAGCCGCGAGAGCTGTCGTGGGTGCACCTAGATACACCCACATTACACCAATTCTCTGTGAGCTACACTGGCTCCCTATTGGTCTCCGGGCAAAATTCAAGGTGTTGGTTATTACCTTTAAAGCCCTACATGGCTCAGGGCCAGGCTATCTTCGAGACCGCCTTCTGCCGCATAGCTCCCAGCAACCGGTAAGATCCCACAGAGTTGGTTTCCTCCAGGTCCTGTCAGCTAAACAATGCCAGCTGGCGGGCCCGCGGGGGAGGGCCTTCTCTGTGGCTGCCCCAGCTCTCTGGAACCAGTTACCTCCTGAGGTCCGGACCATCCCCACCCTATCGGCCTTCCGGAAAGCGG